CAACAATCAGATTAACGTCTGTGTGTTGTTTAACTCCATACTCAGCAATACCATGGCGGAATGTAAACAGCCGAGTCTGGCCAGACAATCAAATGATTATGCGCTATGATCAACGTCTTTTTAGAGCAACGTCACATCGTCAACGAAGTCAGCAAGCATGAACACCGACCCCAATAAGCATGGAGGTATAATGACGCCCTGTCAAAGTCACTGGAGCTGGGATTTTACTTAGCGTGGCGTTAAACAACAAACAGACAAATTATGCGACACCATCGCGCATCTTGTTTACAAGGAACGCAGGATGTTTTATATAGTCTTCTGAAATGTTTTGAACGATTTGACCTGGTTCTAATGGTAAAGACCCGTGAAGATCAGGATTAGAATTGATTTTCAGTAACACATGCTTGTCGTAAGGGGCGACTAACGGGAGGATCGGGTGGTCAGGCTCCTGACTTGGTTGACACATGTCATCGTATCCGAGTTGTGTAGATCGATGCTCATACTGTTGATCACTGGATTGTCTGGTCTGGACTCGATTATTTACAGACTGCCGCTATAAAACTGGAATATTGCTGAGTGCGGCGTAAAACTAAAGTCACTTACTCTAATGGTAAAATGGTGACATTTAAGTCATGCGTACACGCTTTTAGGTATAATATTCTTATACTTTACTTAATACTCTAAGGGACATTGTCGCGATCCAGCCTTTCGAAACAAGATATAAATTCCTGAGGTATGACAATGCGAGACTGGCCATTTTCTTCTTTTTTTTTAACACAGAACCTTTTGCTAAGAGTGATTCTATTATTAAACTGCTGTTCATGCGCATGACGTATTATTGCGAGACCTGTGGCTTAAATCTATATAGTTTAGAGATACTGGTGTTACGTAAACGACCGTTGTATTAAACATACAATGAATGAGAGTTGATGACAACGGAATGTATTTTGTTGGAATCAAAAGGCCAATTTGCGGGTGGACGAGACGAAAACTGTGTATAGGGGAGATAACTGCCGTGGTGTTAGTGTAGTGCAGCGTACAAATAACTCAACCTTCCTAAGTTGAGCTTAGACGAGCAAACCACTCTCTCTGCTGAGTCTACTGGGTCCTGGGCAGATAGGAGTCCGTTTACGCTACGCCATAGAACCCACCCGCTGAAGCTCTGCAGGCTGGATAATTGGCCCCCACTCTTGAAGCAGACAATAATGCCGCCGCCATTGTGGTTTTTGCAGGCAGGATGCGGAACACGCGAACAGATTTGACTGGTTCCCGTTCGTTCCAGACACATTGAGCTTGGACGGGCATATAGATGCAGCGATACCAAGCCCAGGATCCGGGAAGCGGTCTATAGAGAGATTTGCTGTGGGGGCGGAGGCGTGGTTGTGACGAAGGGAAAAGAAAACAAACCACCACAATATCTCTCTTATCAGACCATCAACAGTTTAAAATGAGGAAACTTCAAAATGTCCTCCTAAAAGCTTGCTGCATTTCACTAAAGAAGTCCATCTTTTGTGATGCAGCACATTTTAATGTTTGGGCTCAGACTGAGGCAGCTAAACCGTAACAAATATATTGATATTCAGGTCAGTGTGCGAAATAGTTTACAAATTTAGTTTGCCAGTCGGGCTTGCTATGCCTGAAAGTTACTAGCCCACGAAATATTTCACCAGCCCAAAATTTGAATGTAGAAACTAAGCATAAAGATTACAAAAGGTTAAAATACCAACAGGTTATAATCTTGCATGATTTAAAATTGCATTATAACATAAGTGGGAGAGAGTCATATATTAAAAAAATTAACCCCATGAATGTTCACTAAAGCCAGTCGGGCCAGTGACTTGGAGATTTACTGGCCTCGCTGGGTTTTTACCAGCCACGGGCTAGCGAGCCAGTGGTTATTTCGCACACTGCTGAAATTCAGGTATATTATGTCACCAGCACACATGTTTGTGGTATTTTGCGTTTTCCGCTGGTTGTCCATGGGTCATTTTACTTTCGACTCCTTTCCTAACCAACTGAACTGATGAACCGGAAACGTCTGTGCGGTATCGTGGTGGGAATGCATGTTTTTCAAAAATATCATGTTTGTGTGCAGGTAAAACTAACTTATGAACTTAGAATATTATTTCGAACATCCCCCATGCTACATTTGGGGTTGTACTATTATACATGGAAAACGTATAATATTGGAAAATGTGCCTAGAAACCACAACGCCGACAAGCTCTTAATTTCTTACTGGGAGTAGCAGAACCTCAGATATGACGCTACGGCACGTGGATTCATGTCGTAGTTTGTGAAGCTAAGCGAAACTATTACTGAGATCATTAGTCCTTTATCTCCCACACGTGGTTATAGAAGACGTTGTGTGTGAATACTAGACTACGTTCTTTTACTCAAAATATAAATGCCATAAAGTGGATGTTTATACATGCTCAAGATCCGTGACGATCCGGGTTAGAATTGATCTACAGTAACCCATGCTTGTCTTAAGAGGCGACTAACGGGATCGGGTTGGTCAGGCTCGCTGGTCATCGGTTCCCAATTGCGTAGATCGATAATCATGCTGTTGATCACTGGATTGTGTGGTCCAGTCTCGATTATTTACAGACTACCGCCATATAGCTGTAATATTGCTGAGTGCGGCGTAAAACTAGACTCACTTATACATGCTCAATGTTGGAAACGCATGTTACTTTTCATCGGTGTGAACTTGCACTCAGTAGATCTTTGTAAATAGGTTTGTAAGTAATGTTTGGAATGTAAATGTATAATTATAATTCGTAATTTAGGGAACACTCATTCATGTATTTGGGGGTATCTTTAGAACAATATATCTTATAAGCACCAAACTAGTATTCACTGAGTACCATTGAACGATCTATCATTGTTCGCTGGTAACACTCAGATTCCAGTGAAGATCCGGGATAGAACTATTCTTCAGGAACTGAAAACGTGACGTTTCGTTTTTGTCCACAAAACAAACTATTCACTTTTTCCATCACTACCAACAAATTTTCCATTGCGGGCATATATCTGAAGAAACTATGCATTTAACAGAATACTGCTTGTCTTGGCTTTGCATGTGTTTGTGACGGGTGTCTCAGTTTGGGATACGCAAATCATTTCGCGAACATCTTATCATTATTTCAAAGGGATTCGTAATCACCAGATCATTTCATTGTCAGAGGCCCGATCCACATAAACGTCGTAGCACTATGCCATTTGTAGGCCAACGATAAAGTAAAGAGATACGATAGGTCGTAACGTTACGAAAGCTTTGAAGAACAAGAACAAGAATCGTAAAATACACACTTGCTTTGACAGAGATTTCTTATCAATGATTTCGCAGAAGTTTTTTTGTCGATTGCATTTTAATTCGTTTTGACACATCCAAGAAGATTCAAAAAGAATAATAGTAATAGTAAGAGCCCATTACAACTGTTTTCACGTTTAAATGTAAAAGGTGCCTGTTGTCACGTGAGGTGAGGTGAGGTGAAATTGAGTTTAACGTCGTGCTTGAGAATATTTCGCTCATATGACGACGTACATGCGTGTGTATGTGCGGCTGCTTGTACTAGCCCAGACTGAAGCTGGTTTTATAGTGCTAGCCTACTGAGATACCATGCCGCAGTGAAGCATGAATACCCCCACTCAGACACATTATACTGACTCCCAGCCGACCAGTCCTTGTTGTACCCATGAATGCCGAGAGCCAGGCAGGGACCAACAAGTACCATATTTTAACGTCTTTTGGTATGACGCAGTCGGGGATCGAATCCGCTCTCCGGGCGGACGCTCTAACCACTACACCACAGAGGCTGTCTTATCACGTGAGCAGATACAGAAATCATTTGCAATTGCACGGCACTGATTAGACAACTGGAATGGTGAAGTGCAATATTAAGAATATGTTTTGCAAAACTAACTACGAACTACGAACGAAGGAACGAACTACCAAGATGGAAGTACTGGAGTGAGTAAACATTTATAGTCACTTTGGCAGTATTTCTGCAATATCGTGACTTAAAGGGTCATATTAAAATAATGTATAATGTTATATCGTAAAATCTGTCTGCGAAGGACAGTAAGAAAACTAGAATATCACAGCTAGAGATTTAAAACTAGTATGTGACTTAAAGTATATACTATTTAGGACAATACAATATACAAACAGACTATAGATCACCAGCAACTGAAGGTAGATCACCATATTAGGGACCATGGGGACTTACAGTACATTTGCTTCCTGCATGGGCCACAGCTGGATTTACATCATTCCTTCAGTCGCTGGCAATATTAGGGGAACTGTAGCCAAAATTAAAATGACAAATATTCTACGTGTAAAACCAGGGAGGTACTGGATACGGTGTTAGTGAATGAAGATGCTTTGACAACATTTAGGTTATAGAACAGCGTGTCATAGTGAAATGAGAGCAAAGCCGGAAGGGAGGTGGGGGTGAGGCTTTTACCGGTATGGTGAAACTCAACGTCATGTTTTACACGCCGCTGAAGGGGCGTAACTCTACACAATGACTTGCTATAAGGGTAATGCTATTTTTGAGGGCATTATCATTTGCAGAAGCTCTAGGTCTTTTATTAACTGCCCGACGAAGAGTTTTTATGGATGTCAACTATGCGTTCCTCACAATAAAGAAGTTGGTGTTCCTTATAATAAAGAAGTTGGTGTTTCTTATAATAAAGAAGTTGGTGTTCCTTACAATAAAGAAGTTGGTGTTCCTTACAATAAAGAAGTTGGTGTTCCTTATAATAAAGAAGTTGGTGTTCCTTACAGTAAAGAAGTTGGTGTTCCTTACAATAATGAAGTTGGTGTTCCTTACAATAAAGAAGTTGATGTTCCTTATAATAAAGAAGTTGATGTTCCTTAAAATAAAGAAGTTGGTGTTCCATATAATAAAGAAGTTGACATCCATAAAAGCGTTCTTCCTCAACAAGCTTTTCATTCAAAGCAACAGTTTGTGGACCATATGCACATAATAATAAAGCTTACGACTTCATCGTTAACAGCTTCTTGTTTACTGCATAGAAGACGTTGAGTTCTCTCTATTGACGTCTCTCTATTTAATAAACAAGAAGTTGTTATCCATAAAGTCGTATGCTGTAGTGTATACGTTTCGTTTAAAATTGAATGAAATATCCATGATTCGTTAGACAGCTGAGGAGTCTGCTTGACCAGGGTCAATGTAGTCGAGGTGGGTGTCAGTGTTGTCGAGGTGGGTGTCGGTGTTGTCGAGGTGGGTGTCAGTGTTGTCGAGGTGAGTGTCGGTGTTATCGAGGAAGGCTTCCCTGTTTTCGAGTCGTGAAGGTCGCCAATCATATGCCGGTTTACTTGCATGAAGCAAACGCTGAAAAAAACCCGGAATAACGAGATAAATACGCGAACTTATATCTTAAAAACACTTTTGAATGAAAACACTCAGGAAGCGATTTTCAACGGTAGAACAACCCCCACCAGCACATTGTCATACATATGTCAACACAATCTTCATTGAAATACACCTCCTTTAGCGGAGCGTAAAGATAACTTAAAAAACCGTTCAAGTTTACTGAGTGAAGCTCCCGTGAAGGTCCGGGCTGGCCTTCAGCAACCTTTCCTAATTGCGAAAGCGACTGACAGTAACGTATGTCGATGGCGTTAAAACATTTGAGTGCCTTTCAAACATTGTATATCTATATAGCTAATGTGGCTCAGTGCTACATGAATCAACAAGCAAACAAAACGAGGCGTATCATTTGATAATTTAGTATTTGATTCAAATGCAATATGTGTAAACTCACCTCGCAGAAAGTTCCGTTCCTTTTGATTAGCTGGTGCAGCAGCGAGATCGGTATTGGTAAGGACATCACCACAGCCATTAAGATTCCAATCGCCTTTGCGTATTCAGGGTAAATGTACTCGCCATAACTTGGGGGATCGTAGCGAAACAGGGAAAATACCAGGGACGCCTGAAACCGCAGTTGTAAGCAAGGTCTCAGCGTTCATGTTCTTCGGGATTGAATAAAAAAGTAATAAGTCGTTTATCATTCAAATATATACATGTTTTCTTCTCTCTGTCATTTACTGCCTCGTCACGCCGAAGACCCGGGTTCGAATCCTCACATGGGTACAATGTGTGAAGCCCATTTCTGGTGTCCCCCGCCCTGGTGTTGCTGGAATATTGCTCAAAGCGGCGTAAAACCAAACTCAGTCAGTCAGTCAGTCTTTTCTTATTACCAGAACTTTTTGCAACATGTTTGACTTAAAATAACCTGTAGCTCTTCATTGTAGTGTCAGTGAAATAACCTATTTCCTGTTATGTTGGTTGGTTGTTTAACGCCGCACTCGGCAATATTCCAGCTATAAAGTAGTTGTCGGTAAATATTCGAGTCGGGATCAGACAATCCAGTGATCAACATCATGAGAATCGATTGACGAAACTGGGATACGATGACGTGTCATCCAAGTCAGCGAGCCTGAACAACCGTTAGTCGTCTCCTACGACAAGCATGGGTTACTGAAGATCAGTTCAAACGCGGATGTACACGGGTACCTATTTCCTAAACATTGATGCACCTAACACAGTCTATTCTTGTAATTGACTGTAATTTGTCCGATGTGTTACAGATTGTGTCACCATTGGGCTTCTAACCAAATTCCATGTTACCTTAAAGTTTAGAATATTACGATTTGAAAATCTGTCTTTCACCAGTAGATGTTTACTTACAAAGAGAATGAGAGGCGTCACGTAGGTAGACAGGAGTTTTAGCACTAGGGGATACTGCTTCCCCATCATCATCTGAATATCCCTGCCGAATCTCTTCCACCCTACAACACACAATCTCCTGAATGTGAAATGTTAACAGTGCAATGAGTTCATCATCCTCGTGTTCGAACAAAGCCTCTAGTGCTGCTGCTGCTGCTGCTGCTGCTGATGATGATAATTTGGAATTTTTCAGTGCGCTTTCCGACATGATGCTTATTTCGCACACGGTCCCGCCAGGCCATTTAGTTTTGGATAGAAAGAAGGGTGATTAAGACCGAAAGATAGGACAAACTGAATGGGGTGTTAGGGTTGCCTAAATAATCTTTTCAAATTCTTTATTGGCAGAGTGTATGTAGGCCATCGGCCCATAATACAAATATACACTCCCCAAAAAGAAACGCATCATGAAAATAGCAATTTCAAGTAGCAATAAATTAAAACGTGATTCATTTTACAAAAGGTTTTGCTCTGTTTACGAGTCCTATGGTGTTTATGTTTTGAAACATCACAACAAAACGCACCATCCGTAAAATACCCGTATTTAACAGCATGATTTTCAATTTCGGCGTGCAGCGTCACAGAATACACAATTCATATGTAATGCACGTGAAAGTTGGGGATCAGATAGTCTCAATGATGGGTATAAAAGGTTGATCGCTGTCTGTCGATTATTCACTGTATTTGGAATATTGTTGACGAACGCAAAATGCCACGTCTAAGTGAAGCCAACCGTCATATCGCCATTGGTTTGCTTGAAGTTGACCAGTCTCAACGTGCAGTTGCCCGACGCATGAATGTTCACCAAAGCACCATTTTAAGGCTCTGGGAGAGATATCGCCGGCAGAATGCGGTAGCAGATGCCCCTCGTAGTGGGCGACCTCGAGCGACCACTGCGGCGCAGGATCGCTATATCCGGGTACATCACCTGCGTCATCGAACAGCTACGGCGACCAGTACCGCTCGACAAATACACGGATTGAGGAGGCTTCTGCACAGACCGTCAGGAACAGGTTGAGAGAGGCTGGTTTACGTGCCAGAAGACCTTATTTTAGCCCTGTGCTTCGACAACAACATCGTCGACATCGAATTCAATGGTGCACCAACGTTCAGGCCTGGAACCTACCGAATTGGCGTAGAATCTGGTTTACGATTACTATTGGAACGACGCGATGAAAGAATGCGGGTGTACAGACGTCGACGTGAACGTTTCGCCGACGCTTGCGTTCCCCAGGTGGACAGATTTGGCCAGGGAAGTGTTATGATGTGGGGAGCGATCACCTGCCGTAGGAGAAGTGATTTGGTGATGATCCAGGGCAACCTGACAGCTCAACGGTACTGTGACGAAATCCTACGCCCACACCTCCTTCCAATCATTGATCGCCAGAGGGAGTTGTTTCAACAGGACAATGCCAGGCCCCACACAGCACGTCACACTAGAGACTTCCTCCAGAACCACAACATCAATGTGCTCCCCTGGCCCTCAAGATCACCGTACTTAAACCCGATCAAACATCTGTGGGATGCCCTGGACAGACGGGTGCGACGCCGTAACCCTCAGCCCCAGACACTTCAGCAACTCGGACAGGCACTACAGGCAGATTGGGCTGCGATTGGGCAACACGAGATTCTGAGACTTATTCGTTCGATGCCGAGGCGATGCCGTGCAGTTCTGGATGCCCATGGTGGTCACACGAGGTATTGACTTCAGCGCCACCACACGTCTCAATGTGACACTCAACCTGACTTTCCTCGAGTTGTAGCGAAAGACGGATAAGTTTGCATTCCAAGTGTGCAATTTCGTTATATTTCATTGACTCATAAAGCCTACAATATGTTTCAAAATAAACATAATTATACAGTTGAAATTCCTATATGCGTTTCTTTTTGGGGAGAGTATATTAAATGTTTGCAGCCATATATGACTGGCGGTGCTTTACAGCATAAAAAATAAACATTGCTACATTTCTGATGACAAAGGTATTGTTTGAGGCCATCAATATATTGAAATTTGACAAAGAAGAGTATGCGTAAAGCTTAGGAGGAATATATATAGTGCGCAAGGAACTGTATGCAGTACACACTAAAAGGAAATGATACTCGTTTTCTATATATCCATTGTCGCACATGTTACATAACCTGTGATGTCTGAGCTTATTTGTGTATCTACCTGTCTCAATATTTAATTGATGGGAACCACAGCGAAACTGTGTGAGTGCAATGCGAAATTTACTAATGTTAATAACACTAAGATATGGTTCCATAGATAGATTACACTTGAAAAGAAAATATGAATAAGTTTTAGAACTTGATGATAACGAGTCATGCCATTCTTGATGGGATATATGCTGAGCCCTGATCATAAATTCAGACAGGAAGGAATTTAAGCTACTAATCTACTGTCTTTCCCATATACATGTATATCCAAATCCCATATTGTAATGTAATAACTTAAGTTTTGATACCCAATTTGTTTTACCATGGCTAGCATCTAACAATGATAAGTTATAGCACTTTCTGGGCAACTGAGATGCTGGCATATTCAACAGTATATACCAATATTTAATACCACGTTTGTAAGCATAAATATAGACAGGATATCTGCCACACTCACCCCGAACGATGTGATTAGGGGTTGATATTTTGACACAAAGCAGATATTTACAAGCCAGAGTTTGAACTTTCTCGATTGGTGAACTAATATCACAATCCAACCCCCAGACTTCAGCCCCATAGAGTAGGATTTGTAACATTTATATTCTAAGGTAAATGCAACTTTTTGTGTGCTTAATGGGCACTTTAAACGACATGTTAAAACATGCAGTGAGCCAACTGATTCAATATTCGTTGAGTTTAAGTGAAATGAAACATTGACAAAAACAGCGAAAAACAAGGGTGCTGAAACACACCAGCACCATGTTTAGTTCGAACGCCCAAACACAACAGCCTAGTGTATGTGGAAGACAGACTTCCCAACAATCACGAATATTGAATCAGTTGCTTCACTGCATGTTCCAACATGTCGTTTAAAGTGCCCATTAAGCACTCAAAAAAGTTGTATTTACCTGAGAGTATAAATGACCTCACCACGTTTAAGTTCATAAATGACTATCAAATTGTAGGGTGTTCACATACCTTTTGTTTGTAGTATATATTCACTAATAGTTTAATCGTATATTTTCATCATGCATTGTTTTGATATAGGCTAACCCCTGTATGGACAAGCTTATCCATGGAATAAAGATGTAACTTTTGTTTTCACTCAGTAGCGGGATTATCTGGCACTATATATACTCATGCCAATAATGGTTGTCACCCCCCTCCCCACCCCAACCCTACACACACCCCACACCCGCTCTCCAATTAAAAAAATGAAGGGGGTGACAACCATTATTGGCACTATATATTTCTCATGCCTCATTTCACCAATAGAGCTTTACCGTATATCCAGTTGATGACAACACACTCGAGGCAGCCAATAAGCAGGATGCTGAATGATGAGTTATACCAGTCTAGCAACTGCAGGAGGTAGATTCCACCCTGTACAGGCAATAGATACTTCAGAAAGTGATGTAATGTTAAATGAGTTCTAATAGCTAGGTAGCCTAATGGTTGAAGCTGCCGCACGTCACGCTGAAGACCCGGGTTCGATTCCCACAAGGGTACAAAGTCTGAAGCCCATTTCTGGTGTACCCCACCGTGATATTGCTGGAATATTGCTAAAAGAGGCGTAAATCCAGACTCACTCAAATGAGATGAATGAACATATCCTGGAGGCGAAACTAGGTGTACGCAATACTGGATGCTGCCCAAAGACAATTGTTGTGTCATACCTTTACATTTTGCTGTTAGGTGAAAGGCAATTTGTTGACGAGATCAGATCTGCAATAAGTTTGCATTCTTGGGTACCTATCATTCATACTTACAATGCATGTTACGGAAATAATTAAATATGTGGGTATTCGTTTTCTTTCATTTCCTCTGTTTTCCACAGAAAATAGTGTAGTGTCTATCCGATTGTACAAGGGAAGATTGCAGATAGAACTGTTTAAATTGAAGGGACATCGCGACATAACCGCTATTCGTTATCTGGAATATTGCCACAGGACTTTGAAAGATACAGTGTCTGTACCATGAATAACATTATTTATATACATATCAAGTGAAACAGATATAACTGAACGCCCAACAGCAACTCCTGCAATCTGATGAAAACACTTATGGATATATGTAATAATGCAGGGAGTCTTTTTAAATGCTATAGTCAGCGATATTCTAGCTTAATGAGTGAGTCAGTCAGTCAGTCTAGTGTTACGCCGCGCTCAGCAATATGCCAGCTACATGGCGGCGGTCTGTAAATAATCGAGTCTGGACCAGACCAGTGATCAACAGCCTGAGCATCGATCTGTGCAATTGGGAACCTATGACATGTGTCAACCAAGTCAGCGAGCCTGACCACCCAATCCCGTTAGTCGCCTCTTACAACAAGCATGGATTATTGAATATCAATATTCTAACCCGGACCTTCACGGGTCCCTTTTCTCACAGACCCCAATCCCAAAAAAGAATGTTTTAGTGTAGGATGTCCTCACGTTGGTTGCATAGGGAACGGACATCAGGAAGCAGAACAGGCACACGCCACCAGTGACATACATTCTTCGGGGCTGCAGGTAGCTTGGATATGCTTCTACTGTTCCAGCGATAACCGTTTCCATCGGACCAAACTGCAAATATTCCATTTACCATAGATAGCTGATAATGGAGCTTGAAGATGATATATTGTCTCACAGTTGCAATCATATATTTCACCTTTACAATCTTATTTTCACAATATTTGACCTGACTTTGATATTTGTAAATGATTAAGTTGGATCGGAACCTCTTTTCATCCTCGTTTTTTTTCAAGGACCGACAAGGTTAAAACGTTCGCTCGCCACACAGAAGACCCGGGTTCGATTCCTGACATCAGTACAATGTGTGAAAACCATTTCTGCTGCCCCCTGCCGTGATATTGCTGGGATATTGCTTCAAGCGACGTAAAAACCATAATCTCTCACTCACCCATCTTTAAGATGTCTGATGCATATTGATTTGAAATAAACATAGTTTTCAAAGTATTAAAATGCAAAAGAAACTGTATACAAGCGAGTCCATTCCCAGAGTTATTAGCATGATGAAGAACAGGACTGCCCACAGTTGAGACACAGGGAGATGAGAGATGGCCTCTGGATAGATGATGAATCCCAAGCCTGAACCTGGAAAGGACATGTCCATTGGTTGGTTACATACCAGTATGTGACTGAACTAAATTTTACACAAACCACATGGCACCTGTGTTTATAACAACATGCTGCAATTTTTGCTGGAGCAAATTAGCATAAACGCATCTATGTATACTATAACTCATTTTTTGGTTTAAGCTTCAGCTTATGCCGTCATGAAACGTACTCATCTATATTGGTATTGGCATTTTTAGAACTTCTTATCCTTTTCTACAGAGCGATCTTAAAGTTACAAAGTCAAGTGTGATCATGAAAGCCAAGAGGCACATGTTCAACATGTGTATATTAAGAAGGGAAAGTTCAGAGTGAGAGAGTGAGTTGAGTTTTACGCCGCACTCAGCGATATTCCAGCTATATGACGGCGGTCTGTAAATAATCGAGTCCGTACCAGAAAATCCAGTGATCAAAACCATGAGCATCGACCTGCGCAATTGGGAACCGAGGACATGTGTCAACCAAGTCAGCGAGCCTGACCACCCGATCCCGTTACTCGCCTCTTACGACACGTATGGGTTACTGAAGACCAATTCTGACCCGGATCTTCACAGGTGGGAAAGTTCAGAACATTGTTCTGCTTGTAAGTTATTCTCCGGAAAGTAGCCCTACACTCACGTGAGCCATATTAAAAGAATGCAATGAGAATAAAAACTTTGACATGCGGAAATACGAATTTTGTTTCTGATGGTTGAAACAAACATTTGCATCTTAGCTCAAAGATTTGTATTCTAAAATATAAGACTTTTTTGTTGCAGAGGTATGTTGTATTCTTCCTGTCTTTTGACAAGAATACAAATCCACGAGCGCGCACTGCTGAAGCCCAAGACAGTTCCCGCTTTTGGCGGTGTAACCTCAAATTTTTACCCATGATATTTGTTCACAATGGACACTGAATGAATCAAACCTTAAGCTGAGTCTGATATTGCCCTTATGAACTATGTAGAGGGGCATTAATGTGTTTCTCACTATGCTAGAGTATGCCTAGTATCAGATTGAAACAAAACTACTGTGGTGGCTTGCTTTGAAGTTACATTTATTGTAAATGTATTAGCAACACATACATAGATACACATATACATACATACACATCTACATCTACATCTACATCTACATCTACATCATACATACATACATACATACATACATACATACATACATACATACATACATACATACATACATACATACACACACATATACATACATATATACATACATACATACACACACACACACACACACATACATACATACATACATACATACACGAACACATATACATACATATATACATACATACATACACACACACACACATACATACATACATACATACACACACACATATACATACATACATACATACACACACATATACATACATATATACATACACACACACACACACACATACATACATACATACATACATACATACATACATACATACATACATACATACATACATACATACATACATACATACATACATACATACATACATACATACATACATACATACATACATACATACACACACACACATATACATACATATATACATACATACATACACACACATACATACATACATACATACATACATACATACATACATACATACATACATACATACATACATACATACATACATACACACACATATACATACCTATATACATACATACATACATACACACACACACATACATACATACATACATACATACATACATACATACATACATACATACATACATACACACACACATATACATACATACATACATACACTACATATACATACATATATACATACATACACACACACACATACATACATACATACATACATACATACATACATACATACATACATACATACACACATACATACATACATACATACATACATACATACACACACACATACATACATACATACATACATACATACATACATACATACATACATACATACATACATACATACATACATACATACATACATACATACATACATACATACATACATACATACATACATGCATACATACATACATGCATACATACACACATACACATACATATACACATATATACATATACATACACTATATACATACATATATACATATACATATACATACACATATACACACACATATACACACACATATACACAAACATATATGTATATATATAATTTTATAATGTATTCAATTTTCAGGAATCAGTGTAGAGGATTTCTAAACAGTAAATGGAAAGAAGATCACAAAGCATGAAAGCTGGCAAAGCTAAAATTTGAATATGCAATAAACTTTGAGGTTTCATAATATCTTACTATTTCTTTTTGATTACTTGGTTTCAGGTCGTTGTTCATGATGAAGTAGTAGGATCATACTCCGAAATGTTGTGTTCCTTATATTACGGATGTAGACATCCAGAATTTTCCCCCTTTATGTGTATCACTTCTAAATGTTATTATAAACACATAATATATACAGTCACTCAAAATAACATGTTATATTATTTCATATAGGCCTCATAACGTTATATATCATTGAGCGAAATTGAAATCGAACAGAGATTACTCAAGAAGGAATGTATATGTTTACCCGATGAGACAATATCTGATATAGGTATCTGAGCATGATGTGCCATGAAGCCCAGGGTGGAGAAGACAACCAGACCACAGAATATACTGCTAGCTTCACCCAGCACAGTGAGAAACACCACGTCTCTGAAAGTAGACATTGGCTTCCTGTATGATGACATGCTATACTAGTCACAGAATGTACTGCTAGCTTCACCCAGCACAGTGAGAAACACCACGTCTCTGAAAATATATATACATTGGCTTCCTGTATGATGATATTCTGGACACAGGATATACTGCTGGCTTCACCCAGCACAGTGAGAAACACCACGTCTCTGAAAATATATATACATTGGCTTCCTGTATGATGATATGCTATACTGGTCACAGAATATACTGCTGGCTTCACCCAGCACAGTGAGAAACACCACGTCTCTGAAAATATATATACATTGGCTTCCTGTATGATGATATGCTATACTAGTCACAGAATATACTGCTGGCTTCACCCAGCACTGTGAGAAACACCACGTGTCTGAAAATATATATACATTGGCTTCCTGTATGATGACATGCTATACTAGTCACAGAATATACTGCTGGCTTCACCCAGCACTGTGAGAAACACCACGTGTCTGAAAATATATTTACACTGGCTTCCTGTATGATGATATGCTATACTAGTCACAGAATATACTGCAAGGAATCTCGTACGAAGGGGCTTACCCCGCTTTTCAGCCAATCAGATCACTCGGATAGATGGCACAGTGTGTGCATTAAAAGTTTATGTTAAAACCCGTTTCTCTTTCATTATATAATAAAACAATTATAGACTCTTGTAGAGGTCGATATCGGTTTTATTGACCTGAGTAAAACAATATCGACCGAGCTTGCTAAAGGTATATTGCAAAAGTTTCCATAACTGATATTTGGATGTAGTCAACGAACGTTCTGACTCCATGTGTTTTTTTCAAAATGCGTAAGGAAAGCAATGTAAAGGAATCTATTATAGAGTCTTCTAATAGCATTTCTTTATCATTTCTTACTAACTCTTTCTGAAAATAGTCAAGTTTGTACATGTCAACTTTCAAAAGTGGAGACTGATACGACACCCTAGGTTGTGAATGACTCGGCTGCACGTTCTCTCAATAATTGTTTCAATTGTCTTTCAGACAACCTACCTGCACATGCAAATTTACCAAGGGCATATTTAAAGTTACCCCTTTCACCTTCGCCTTTAAAAAATCTTAAATTTTGAAAATAATGGACTTAATGTCAGAGGTGACTTTCATTGTCTCATGTACCGTGTCAATACATCGATTGGCTATGCTAGATGTGACGTCACAATTGAACGTGCTTCCCGCCCTTGAGGCTGTTCCCGCACCTATTAACAGGTATTCATGAGTATATCTAGTATGGCCAATACGACATCGCCGCATGACGACCTCTTCAAGTCTGGACTGACAACCCAAGTAGGTATAACCTCTATAGGGTTTAAGCACATGTAGTCTATTGATACCTACTTGGGTGTCCCACTTCTTTTGCATTGGATCAAGGATATACGGTGTAATCAGAGCTTTGTAATCAGAGCATGGGATCAGAAGTGGTGAATCAGATTTGTTGAGTGCTGACTTAGCAGCAAAATCGGCCATTGTGTTACCAGAAATTCCAACATGACTGGGTAACCAACAGAAGACGATGTCCAATTGGCCAGTAGCAAATTCATTATGGAACTCGATTATTTCAATTAAAAGTTGATGTTAAACCGCCAAGTTTTTAATAGCCTAAAGGCACGAAAGAGAGTCAGAAAATGTTATACACTGTTAATATTTGGGTTTTTTATTAATACATTTTAAGGCTGTTAATATGGCGTTTGCTTCGGCTGTAAAAATTGAGCTGTCATCTAGTAATCTAGAAGATATTGTTTCGAATATAATGACAGTGGTACAAACCACTGCGCCACCATCCTTGGGCTCATCTGTAAATAAGGATTTGTATCTATTATATTTAATTTTCAATTGATTAAATTCTTGTTTATGTTGTAATTCATTTGTTTCGGATTTATTAAATGTTGTCAGTGTTAGGTCAACTCGTGGCCTTACTAATTGCCATGGAGAAGAAGAAAGAAGGCGGATAGGATACATATTCTCTAACTCAGTGCCAGCAGCAGAAGGGAAAGATTTTATCCTTATTCCTAGAGGCGGAATAAGAGATGACTACTTGTTGTACAGATCCGCATAAATAGGATTAAAAATACAGTTAAATGCAGGGTTGGACTAGTAGAATATAGTTTTGTGATATACTGTAAAGATAATTTATACGGCGTTGGTTAAGAGGGCTCATCAGCCTCGACTGTCAACAGGTGAAAGTCTAAAAGACCCAGGACAAAGTCTTAGACCTTACTGTGGTGGACAGTATCAACTAGTTTGAGATTGTTTTTACAGGCCCACCATATACGATCGGGCCGTATTCAAGTTTCGATCGGACCAGTTATTTGTATAAGTGAGGGTAGTTTGATCCCCTCCCCACTTTGAATTGGAAACAACTTTTAACAAACCGTGTTCCTTCAGACATTTATTTTGAGGTATTGAATATGCGGCAAAAACGTTAAATGGGAGTCGAAAATAAGACCCAAGAACTTGGCCTCCTTGAAAACTTTGATGGGGGTGCCATTTGAAAATAGTTCTGGGTCTTTATGCAGACGAGTATATTAACGGCAGAAATGTATACAATAAATTTTCGATTTAGAAATTTTACAGCCGTTTTCAAGGCACCATTTAATTCTTTTTCTTAAATATAACTGCAGTTGCCGTTGAATAGTATGCGTATTTTTACCGCGACAAGAACATTAAACTCATCGACTAAATATGATTCATTATTTGAATAATTTAAAATCTTTGATAAACTGTTGACCTTGATGCTAAATAATGTGACAGAGAAAATACTGCCTCGTGGGACAACCTGATCCTGATTCTAATGATACGACAGTGTGGATCCCACGCGGACTTGAAATTGTCTGTCATTTCAAAAGTTGGATATAAATTGAGGCAAACGGCCTCTCAATACAAAATCATGTAAATCTCTTAAAATACCATGTTTCCAAGTGGTGATATGCTTTTTCTACATCGAAAAAGATGGACACTGCATGTTGTTTAGTAATTATGGCAATTGTGACAAAAGATTCCAAACGCACTAAATGATCAAGTGTACTTCTGTTTTTACGGAATCCACATATCAGTTAGATGTATATCAGCTAGAAGATTGTTGGTTTTCAAACTATCTTTAATGATATCCATCGAGCCTAACCAGTCCAATGACACACCTGGACTGTTTGGAATCGACTTCAAATTTCGTCGGCCTGTTCGGAGGCCCATTCTGATCTAAGCTCATCGCTTGACACGCTTTTGACGGTAACACCAACATCACACATGGGCAAGACTGCAATAGCATGACTTACGTGTATTGTCGTGGACTCCATTCAAGACAAAAATCTAACTCGAAGCATCGTGTTTCTTTATATTTCTTGTATGTGAGTTCCAAATAATTTGAAGTATTTTTATGAAAGCGCAGTCCCCATAGACCCTAGTATGGTGATCTACATTCAGGGCCTGGCGATCTATAGCCCATTTTTATATTGTTCTCTGTAGTGAAATCTCTTTATGATGACAAGCTAGTTTTAAATATTCATCTGTGATAGTATAGCTATTTTACTGTCCTTCGTTGACAGGTATTTATATATTGACTAAGTTTATCTTAATATGGAACTCTCATAGTCATACTGCCGATGTGACTTTGAATCTTGACTCACTTATTAACTCTTAATATTTCTGTAACAGAGACATTGGAACTGGAGTAATTCAGCATATTCATCCCATATCGGTACATAGAATACTGGAATGTGTGAATACGAGTACAACTAGTACTTTCTCAGAGACGACTGGAATAGTCAACCAAACGATGGAACGAATAGAATGAAAGACATCGCTTGTGCAACTTAGCCAGTAACCGTTGACGAATAATGTAAAGCAGGGTGGCTAACAAGTTGGCAGCCAGCTTTCTCGCATGTTTGCCCCGTCTTGAGTCTATGTAGAAGCAGTGTCCAAAATTGATAGGTTATAACCGTTGTATACAAAGTGTACATCCTGGCTTATGTTAGAATCCAGTAAACTCACTGTCATAACCGCTTTTGTCACATAAGTACCATTGCGTTGTTGTATGAGGAATACATTTCCTGAAAACCGTTCCTGTGACAGATGCACATTACAACGTTATGGTTAACTATCAAACAATAATAATAATAGTAGTCCATTTATCATGAGCATTGCTCCATGCACAATGCATGCTCGATACGCCCAAACAATCTGAATATTATTACCCCGGATAACCCAAGCTGTCTGTTAGGCGCTAGAGGGTTATAGTCACATGACTATAACCCACCGGGTAACCATGAGTCCCAGGTTAGACCTACCTCAATGAATTGTTGTGGAACTTGGTTGAGTCCCAGGCTAGACCTACCTCAGTGAATTGTTGTGGAACTTGGTTGAGTCCCAGGTTAGACCTACCTCAGTGAATTGTTGTGGAACTTGGTTGAGTCCCAGGCTAGACCTACCTCAGTGAATTGTTGTGGAACTTGTTTGAGTCCCAGGCTAGACCTACCTCAGTGAATTGTTGTGGAACTTGGTTGAGTCCCAGGCTAGACCTACCTCAGTGAATTGTTGTGGAACTTGGTTGAGTCCCAGGCTAGACCTACCTCAGTGAACTGTTGTGGAACTTGGTTGAGTCCCAGGCTAGACCTACCCCAGTGAATTGTTGTGGAACTTGGTTGAGTCCCAGGCTAGACCTACCTCAGTGAATTGTTGTGGAACTTGGTTGAGTCCCAGGATAGACCTACCTCAGTGAATTGTGAATTGTTGTGGCTAGACCTTCAGTGAATTGTTGTGGAACTTGGTTGAGTCCAAGGCTAGACCTACCTCAGTGAATTGTTGTGGAACTTGGTTGAGTCCCAGGTTAGACCTACCTCAGTGAATTGTTGTGGAACTTGGTTGAGTCCCAGGTTAGACCTACCTCAGTGAATTGTTGTGGAACTTGGTGTAGCTGCTCATTGTGATGAGGCCGCCATATGTGACGGACATCGAGTAGAATCCTTGGAGCAGCGCTTCCAACCAAACCTGCAGATTATATTTAGTGGTTGTGATAGTAGCAGTGGCAGTTGGAGTAGTAGTAGAAGTACTAGTAGTAGTTGATTTATTATTAGTATGTTGATAGAAGTAGTACATGTAGTAACAGTAGTAGTAGAAGAGTACTAGTAATATAACAGTGGTAGGGGTGATGGCTGTAGCAGCAGTAGTTGTAGTGGTCCTGCTGGTAGTAGTATTAGTGATCGTTAGTATTGGTAGTAGTATTAGTAGTGGTATTAGTAGTAGTAGTAGTAGTAGTGGTATTATTATTAGTAGTAGTAGTAGTAGTAGTAGTAGTAGTAGTAGTAGTAGTAGTAGTAGTAGTAGTAGTAGTAGTAGTAGTAGTGGTAGTTTAACGATTGATCTACGCAACTGGGATACGATGGCATGTGTTCACCAGTTCAGCCAGCCTGACCACCCTCTTATAACAACATGGCCAACCAAGGTCTCTGGACAATGGTTGGGTACATTGACAAATGTAAATTAATATTCCTTGAAAGATTATGTAACAACGCTTGTACTTCATCAACGAAAATGCTGTTCTGTGCATTCTTATCACTCACTGTTCATTTACATATACACTCAAGCAGTATTTGCAACACTCTGTTATGTACTATACTAAAGTATATTAATCTGCTGAAATATTAGAAGCTTATGTGCAGACTGGTTTTTTCCCGTCGCAGTGTGCCACAGAATAGTTGTAAGTTCTAACTTCTATTACGAAGAAACTCAATAGAAATTGAGACTCTCCATACGAGAAAATATACTGGACAAAATAAGTTAGAGATATTGGTATTTTTATGATTTATATTTCATCAGTGTGTCAATGAATAAATAGATCATTATTCATAATTTCAAAATTTGCATATATCCCTAACTATTTTTGTCCAGTATATGTCCAGATATGCTGTAATCCATCAAACACTGAGTCTACATACACTTTAGTCTTTAATGTATCTATACCCAGGATATAAAGACCACATACAACTTACTGTACAAGTCGGTTCTGAAGCCAAATTCTCAAAAAGAATGCACACCTTGTAATAAGCACTGCTATGACCATGATGCTCACATCATTTTACATTGTGAATCTACAATGCGCCAAAGAAATAATTTTTATATGACACTACTTGACCTACTGGATGTAGATGTATATGTATTAATTGAAATGCTAGATTATGAAGATGCCCTTGTACACTTTTGTGGTGCAAAACTTAACATCCCTGGCCTTGATGAAACAGCATGGCAAACCATCATACTACATTTTTCTAAGTATATCTATTCTTTAAACGATTCTTTGATGTATACTCTCTGATCTACCGTTGTTGTAAATATCATATGTACATATATGTAACTGACTGATGTTATATTTATGTAATTTTCGAATATCTTTTGGAGGAAATAAAGACCTTCATTTATTCATTCATTATTCTGTTAAGCGCTGGTTTCCATTACATCCATTGGTCTAGAAGGGCATGGATTTACATACACTTTGAAAAAATGGGAGTCATCCCGACTTTCAATCAATGCTTTGGGGACGAATTTTCTAATTTGTGTGATGTAAATATTAATTTGTGTGATGTAAATATTATGTCAATAAAATAATTCCATTATTAATTGTAAATAAAGCAAGGGTTGGGAAAGCAAACTATTTTGCAGTCAGAAAACTTCAGTTGCTTTCTGTATTTAGTGGAGTTATTGCTTAAATCTATTATTCGTTAATAAATAATTGTGAAATGAATGTCTGAGGACGTTAAGGTGTCTAACCTGAACTGAAGTTAGTCGAGAGAAATCTGGTCGAAGGAAATACACAATCCCTTCTCCTGCACCCGGCATCATGCACGTCCTAATGAGCAGCGTCGTCAGCAAAATATACGGCAACACTGCAGTGACATACACCACCTGCCAAACAATTCAGTGACGATATCTTACAAGAAACATTCACTCATGTACACTCAGATAGGTGTGTTCCTCCCACCACCATACACACACATACACGCGCGCGCACGCACGCACGCACACACACACACACAAACAAACAAACACACACACACACACACACACAAGTATGCGCATCAGGATCAGGTAGTTGTAGGTTCGAGTCCACCACTCTGTTAGTGCAGTGTTATTGACCTGACTTATCCAGGCCTTTAGCTGAAACACCATGATATAATGATTATTAGTGGTGGTCCGCTTAATTGAAATAATCGAAGATCGATCGCAATGACTAAACGACCAAGCAATCGATCACGTTTTCTCATAATCGAACCTAAACAATTTTGGGACGCCGATTTGCATTAACAATATTTTTCACAAGGTTGGTTTTGTCTGTTACATTTCATAAGCACTACCAGCTCGTTCAAAGTCAGCATTGGATTTATCTTAAAAGACTCCAGGAAATGTATGGTTTTAACATACCAGTTATCCTTTAAAGACGTAAAATTTGCAAATGCATTTTGTGCAATTTACAAAACACTCGAAAGAACTTTCTTCTTTTTTTCTTTATTTTTTGTGGATTAACAAACATAACCAGGAAAATTTGATACATGACACTAACCAAATATTTTCGATGATTTATTGGTTGTAATGAACCAGTTATCAATTATGAGATTTTTAATTCCCAACACTAATGATTATGCTTTTCTAAATTAAACTTACGAACGAACGAACGAACGATCGTACTGAAGACCCTGACGTTTGTTACCTTTCCTACAGACCGCACACCTTTCAGCAAACAAAAGAACGCTATCAGCCACGAGCCGAAGATACAGAGAGCAAGGTGAACTTGAACAGACCCGAAATTCTCAAAACCACTGGACACTCTCAATGTGTTGTATCTGTCAAAATATAATAAGCATGTCATTCTGTCAACCCCAGGTGAAGAAATAGTATGCACATACTAACAGAGCCTCTAACCTCAAGAGAGAAAAAGGTTTGAGATACCGGGGGTCCAAGGACCGCCCTACCCGGCCGGGTGCTGAACACCCCCTGAAGCCAACGCATAATTGCAAATTCCCTTCTCAGAAAAGTCACTGAAAACTAGTATGCATTCTGACTTATTTGTGTAATTTTTAAATGATTTTATATTATAATTCAATATGAAATTAATTTTTTCATGAACTTTATCACTTTTGTCGGGAGACCGTGATATGATCATGAGTATTACATTCGTGAGTCTCAAGTCAGATGCGTTGCAAATTCGCTTCTCAGAAAAGTCACTGAAAACTATGCATTCTGACCTATTTGTGTGGTTTTTATATGATTTTATATTATAATTCTGTATGAAATAAAAAAATTCATGAACTTTTATCACTTTTGTCGGGAGACCGTGAATTCATTCGTGAGTCTCAAGTCAGATGCGTTGCTAATTCCCTTCTCAGAAAAGTCACTGAAAACTATGCATTCTGACCTATTTGTGTGGTTTTTATATGATTTTATATTATAATTCTGTATGAAATAAAAAAATTCATGAACTTTTATCACTTTTGTCGGGAGACCGTGATATGAGTATTACATTCGTGAGTCTCAAGTCAGATGCGTTGCAAATTCCCTTCTCAGAAACGTCAATGAAAACTATGCATTCTGACCTATTTGTGTGGTTTTTAAATGGTTTTATATTATAATTCTATATGAAATAAATTTTACATGAACTTTATCACTTTTGTCGGGAGACCGTGACATGAGTATTACATTCGTGAATCTCAAGTCAGATGCGTGAAAATTGGAAAGTATGATACTAACCGCAAGATTATTTCAAACACACGCAACCCAGAGCGCTCCCTGGCATAAAAAACCCAGTACAACCAGAAATTATTGAGAATTTAAAGATTGTAATTACTCAAGTATTAAATGTGAATATTAGCAGAACATAACTCCAGATTCAAAGACAGTTAACAGTTAGTATTTTGTCAAGTCACCATGGGCAGCAATGCAGGCTTCAATGCGGCGGGTCATAATACTGATCAAAGAAGTTCGAAAGTCGTGGTCCATGCTGTCCCAATATCGGACCACCTCTTCTTTCATTTCAGCAATATTTGTCAGATTTTGTCCGAAACCAGGCCTGTGAATGCTTTGAACGATGTTTTGGGTCGTTGTACTGCTGGAAAATCCAAAACTTTCCATAGGACACGTAAGCAGATGGAAGTAAATGTCCCTCGAGCATACCTGTGTACCGCTCACTGTTCATATTCCCTTCAAATACACAGAGGGGCGTTGCCCCTAACACAGATATGCCACCACACACGTTAATTTCGGACTGTACTTTAGGCGCTGATACAAAGTTTTTTCAGTTTGTTTGGTCCAGACTTTCAGTATATTAGGAAACAGCCACACAGAACTTTCATCGGAGAAAATCACATTGTCCCAGTTAAAATTTCTATGCTGTAAGCACCAGTACAACCTTCGCTCCTTTTGTTCAGGTTTCATGATCGGTGATGGAATTCCTCGACTTTTCTGCCAACCCATTGCATGCAGCTCAGTTCTAATTGTCTCCTTACAGACAGCCACAGTTCCTCTATCAATCATATACAGCCTTAAGTTTTCTAAACTCCTACGTTTGTTTTTAGAAACAAGAATACCAAGCCGCCTCCTGTCACCGACAGTCAATTTTCTGGGCCTACCCGCGCCTCCCTGGTGCTCAATGCCATATCCATTTGCAATATTTTTCAAAGTACGATAAACAGTGGACAAAGGAATGCCTGTTCTACTTGAAATCACTTTAGCTGATCTGATGTCCTTGTTATAATACTCTAAAATCAATTTCCTCTTCTCTAAATCATCCATACTGAGGATCACTGAAAATGTCGTCTGCTAGCAAGTAAACAAAGGGGGATAACTCTTCACAAACTAATGAAAAAGCGTTAACGGAGTTGTCACTCTTGAATGAAACCAAGCACTTGATAGCTGGTCAAGGTTGTTTATACTAGAAATCCAATTAAACATATTCCTAAAATTCTGGTCATACTATACATGCGTCCATACACACTAAGGCACCCGTGAATATCTGGGTTAGAATTGGTCTTCAGTGACCGATGCTTGTCCCAAGAGGCGACTAACGGGATATGGTTGGTCAGGCTCGCTGACTGGCTTGACACATTTCATCGTATGCCAACTGATGTTCAGATTAATGCTCATGATCTTGATCACTGGATTGTCTGGTCCAGACTTGATTATTTACAGACCGCCGCCATATAGCTGGAATATTGCTGAGTGCGGCGTAAAACAACACTCCAAACAAAACGCACTAAGGTGTTTTTATGTCGATACTTTAGTACAGTATTATATTTGACAAACATTCTCTTACTGCCAAAATTCTTCAGCCGCCGTCAAGGTTACGTTCGACTTCCTCCACGCCGAGTGTTCTAGAAGCAGATCCCGTGTGCAGTTGTTGACGTAGGTCTCGCTGATGGAAACGTTGCCGAGCCTATTGACACACAGGTGCGTGTTCCACCAGTTGTCACACGTTGTCCATGGCAACACAGACTCGAAGGACCGGTACAAGTAATATAACGACCAGGCTATGACGATGATGTACAGTACAGAACCCATGAATGACACCAGCAGCTGGGTGATTCCTATACCTGCAGGAAACGTGAGGTGAGACTGGGTCTAACGTCGCATTTAGATATTTGAGTGAGTGAGTGAGTGAGTGAGTGAGTGAGTGAGTGAGTGAGTGAGTGAGTGAGTGAGTGAGTGGTGAGTGAGTGAGTGAGTGAGTGAGTGAGTGAGTGAGTGAGTGAGTGAGTGAGTGAGTGAGTGAGTGAGTGAGTGAGTGAGTGAGTGAGTGAGTGAGTGAGGGTGGTTTTACGCAGCTTTTAACAATATTCCAGCAGTGTCCCTGCGGGGGAACACACATTGTACCCATGTGGGTAATCGAACCCCGGCCTTCTTACATACACGGCTGAGGGCGGTGGGGTAGCATAGACCCGGGTTCGACTCTCTACATGGATACAATGTGTGAAGCCCATTCCTGGTGTCTCCCGCCGTGATATTGTTGGAATATTTCTAAAAGCAGCGGTTAAGTATAATCACTCACATACTGGTACACACGACAAGACCGCCTCCGTGGTGTAGTGGTTAGAGCGTACGCCCGGAGAGCGGAAGGTCGTGGGTTCGATCCCGGCCGCGTCATACCAAAAGACGTTAAAATATGGTACTTGTTCGTCCCTGCCTGACGCTCGGCATTAATGGATACAAGGAGGACTGGTCGTCTCGGAGTCAGTATACTGTGTCTGCGTGGGGTATTCATGCTTCACTGCGGCATGGTATCTCAGTGGGCTAGCACTATAAAACCAGCTTCAGTCTGGGCTAGTACAAGCAGCCGCACATACACATACACACGCATGCACGTCGTCATATGAGCGAAATATTCTCAAGTACGACGTTAAACCCAATTTCACCTCACCTCATCTCACACACGACAACATGGATACCGCTATCAAACTCCGAACCGGCCATGATTGTTTCGTGGTCTTTATCCCCATTCGCCCTAATCAGCTTGAACGCAATTTCGTAAAGAGGATCGCAGCAGACCACGCTTTCTTTGCACATGGAAACATAGCATAGGGAACAGTAACTTCAGTGATCACTTCAGTGTGTTTCTCCGTGGCTGAGCACAAGAAACACGGCGAAATGGAAGAACCGGGTACAAGATTTGAAGACGTACGCACGCACACCCACACGCGTGAATGCACGTCGCCATTAAGGAAATAGTCTTTAACACAACGTTAACATGCTTCAACTCATGTATGTACATTTTGACTATGTCTAATTGCTTAAAGTGCCGCTGAAACAATAATGTGAAGGCGCGGATTAGCCTATTAGTTAAAGGGGGCGGTAGGGTAGGCTAGTGGTTAAAGCGTTCGCTCGTCACTCACTCACTCACTCACTCTTAGTTAAAGTGCTCGCTCATCATGCCAAAGGCGCAGGTTCGATTCCAAACATGATAACATTTTGCGTAGGTCTTGTTTTGTCACCATGCCGTGACATTCCTGGAATTAACCATGCTAGAAGCGGAGCAAAGGTGGACATTGATACCCCGATATTGAGACTTCAAATTGTGATGATTCGGCCTACCTTTAAACAGAGGACAGATTACCCAAACATGTGTTGCGCTCATGTTGGAGAACTGGCCAATGGTCACCTCCAAGAAAAACAGCGGGACACCGCACGTGATTATTCCTACGAAATAGGGAATGAGGAACGCACCTGCAAACAATATCAGAACTGTATTTTGAAGTGGTATTTACTGATCACCGCTGCTGGTGAATAAAAATATCCTGACATTATATGTCCTGATATAATGTGACATTTAATGCCTGTCACATGTATATTTACTTTGCTTGTTTATTGTTGTGTTTCTCCACACTCAGCAATATTCCAGCTATATGGTGGCGATTTGTGAATAATGAAATCTGAACCAGACAATCAACAGCATGAATATCGATCGGCGGAATTGGGATACGATGACATGTGTCAACCACGTCAGCGAGCCTGACCACCCGATCCCGTTCGTCGCCTGTAACGACCAGCATGGGTTACTGAAGACCAATTCTAACCCGGATCTATGTGGTCCCATGTATTCTAACGGTGAAGTGCCTTTCAGCAGAGTAAAGGTGTTTTACTATCATGTTTAAGTTATAAATAAGTTGAGAAAAGTGCGAAACGTTTTAAGCATTTGGGCCGATTGAAGCCGATGCTCTAATCAGGGGCGTAGGACCGATTTTCAGAGAGAGAGAGAGAGAGGGGCTAATTTATGAAAAGTATTGCAAATACGCCTCTGTTATGAATGTTCGATAGGGCAACACAATACTGAAGTTCCTTGACCCTGGGGGCGCTGGGGATAACCTATTGATTAAAATAACCCAGTCACCTTCATTCTTTGGGCACATGAAAGGTGGGGCAGCGGGTTAGCGTTCGCTGTTTCCGCCGAAGATCCGGGTTCAATTCCCCACATGGGTACAATGTGTGCAGCCTATACCCGCCGTCAATATTGCTAAAAGCGCCGTAAAACTAAACTCACTTTCATAGAAGGCGAAATTCACTAACACTGGGCACTCTTGTACACGTACCTCCGCCGTTTCTGTTGCAAAGGTAAGGAAATCTCCACAGTGAACCCAATCCAACAGCATATCCAAGGAGGGATAACACGTATTCCTTTTTACTTCCCCACTCGGCTCTGCCTGTAGCACTATTTTCATTCTCTTCCTCCCCTTTCAGACTGTCGTCCTCAGGAAATCCCCCGTTGTCTGCCATATGTGGATATGATTGTCCTGTCTATAAAGTGAAATTGTGAGGTAATATGCCAAACATTTAATGGTACTTAATTTTGGAATTGGTGTGCACGCAAATGTCTCACTGACTGTGCTTAGTAACACCTTTCGCGTCAGGAAACATCATATAAAATATTCAATATATCACTGCAATTATATATTCGAACTCAACGTTGTGTGTAGAATATTTTCGATATTAACACTTAGGTGTGTGTTTTCAAACCATCACAAGAATGTATTAATTTTAATTCTATAATGAAATACATAGTGGAGCTCATATAAATTATTTGCTAACATTTAAACGTGCCTATGTGGTAGTGTAATTTAAGCACACATTTAGTATTGATTACACAGAGTAATATCTTTGTAATTAGAGGTATCGACACAGAAATGAAACTGATCCATGTCTTGAAAACAAAATTTAAATCATTGGGCAAACAGAAGGCACAAAACCCTTTCCACATTCAAAAGAAATCTCTGCCAAAAGTCGATTGTACACTTGTGACTATATCGTGAGCAGATATTTGTTTCAGCAGTATTACAGCTGTATGATGTTGTGCGTAAACAAATCGGGTCTGTACCAGACAATCCAGTGATTGTCATCATGCTATAAGATGACAGAGCATGTATTTATGAATCTCTATGAAATAGTGATGATACCAGTTGTTCGCGAAAAGGTGAGTGTATCCTGCCCCACCGGTGGCACCCGTCATAAACATATGCTAAGTCTAGCCATTTGTTCACCTAAAATAATTCGGGAACGTACGGTATAAGTCAAATAGGGAATTCAGGGGTGTAGCTACCGTTAATTAAAAAAAAAACCTGGATTACACATGATTTTTACTAAAAAACATACTTTTTGTAATTCTTGCCAAAAATACCTCAGATACTATCTACATATAAAGCTTTGAAACCTATCGGGCTTACACGAAAGAATTGGCTTGCTACGCGCCTGGAATTGCATCTGACATATTTTTGTCACTGATCCATCAAATTTTGACATTTCCTCCACATGTCTACAATAAAACTTCTTGAAAGCTTTACTGGGGCCTTGAATCACCTTGTTCAAAATACTTCTGAGCAAGAGTGGCATGACGCAAAGAAACCCCAAACCAACACAATTTTCGCAGGGGTAGACCGAAGGCATTTTTAAGAGATAGTTTATGATAAAGGCTCCTTTCAGGCAATATGATTTGCATAATTTCAGAAACGAATGATTTTTTTAACAATCATATATTTTTTATCTTTACCTAAGTTTTTTAGGTTCCTGGGCAAAGTTCATCTTAAATTTTACACATATTTTAGACATATACCTCTAATATCGTATTTCACGTATGGACGCCAACTGAGCTAGATGTGGCAAAAAGAGCCCAAGTGCGAAATCGTGAGAAATATGGTCAAAATTCGTGTTCTCGAATTCCCGTGTTACTTTGTTATATTTTTACATAGCACTTTCAGTCAAAAGTCGACAAGGCATAAACGCGACATTTTTACATAATGTAAAATCTCGCAGTCACGACTTGTCAAATCAGGCCACAAAAAACTAAAATCGTGGGAACGTTAGAACGCTAATTTCCTCGTCATGCATGGCACCCACTCTGTCAAAGTGACGTATATGTACTCTTCTCGTCATGGGACAGTTTTACCATCTCCTTGGCATACAACACGTGTCTAGAAATGGTTGAAGCATCAGTAAAATGAGTAGTTATCATTGTACCCATGGTCTTGATAACGTTAGGTGAGTGAGTGAGTGAGTTTAGTTTTACGCCGCACTAGCAATATTCCAGCTATATGGCGGCGGTCTGTAAATGTGGACCAGACAAGCCAAGGATCAATGATAACGTTAGGAAGTGAGTGTGTTTAGTTTTTATTGCATAATAGTTTATTATTATATGATATTTGTATAGCGCCAATATCCAGCTCAGCTGCTCAAAGGCGCTTTGTGTATCCCTCGATCACAGGATGTCAATCTCAACGACACATCCTATTATCAATCTCAACTCCCTGGGCATCATACAACTCTTGCAGCCACTAGGCGCACCAAGTTAATGTGGCTTTCCCATTCTTACGAGGTACCCTTTCACAGCTGGGTGGACTGGGACATATAGTCACAGTACTTTGTCCAAGTTAATTGCCACATTAACTAAGTATACAAACTGCTTCAAAAACACAATGGCGATATAAAACGGCAGTACAAATACCATGACAATATAACAATAGCATTGATTACAACAAGAAAGACAGTGATGATAATGTTCCACAGTGACCCGGAATCTAGAGTGAAAAAAAGTGACTGCTTGTCTTGATGTAATGTGAAATGACAGAGACAAAGCGTGCGCCCCTTTGTACAGTATAAATCCTTCCTGGAGCATCCCGTAATGTGCTGGATCACTCAAGCTGTTCTAAACATAGTTACTGGCATGCCGCCGCCCTGTACTGGATCTCAACAGAAACAATACAGCATCTTGCAATGGAACGCCGGCCTGCAATGAATGATACTGCAACATAACAGTGAGTGAGTATGGTTTTACGCCGCTTTTAGCAATATTTCGGCAATATCATGGCGGGGGGCACCGGAAATGGGCTTCACACACAACATAACAAATGTCATGTAGTAACAATACTGGAAGGAGGTGAGGTGGTGAGGTGAGGTGAAATTGGGTTTAACGTCTTGCTTGAGAATATTTCGCTCATATGACGACGTGCATGCGTGTGTTTGTGTATGTGCGGCTGCTTGTACTAGCCCAGACTTAAACTGGTTTTATAGTGCTAGCCCACTGAGATACCATGCCGCAGTGAAGCAAGAAGACCTCACTCAGACACATTATACTGACTCCGAGCCGACCATTCCTTGTTGTAGCCATTAATGCCGAGCGCCAGGCAGGGACCAACAAGTACCACATTTTAACGTCTTTTGGTAAGACGCGGTCGGGGATCGAACCCGCGACCTTCCGCTCTCCGGGCGGACGCTCTAACCACTACACCATGGAGCCGGTCAAACTGGAGGGAACAGCGTCTTAGCGGGTTACAGCATATGTAGGATAAACTTTTAACTGATAAAATAGATATCGCAAATACTCTGGGGGAAACTCTCGCTTAGCATTGTTCCTCCGCTAACTATCTTCCTAAATTTCAGATATGCAAGGAACAACAGTAAAAGCCATCTATCAATTTTACCTATCAGTTCAGACAAGGAGGGAGATTATACTGAAATCTTTTGTTTTCATTAGCTCCTGATAACACTTAACAGAATCATGTTGAGAGACAATATTTAGTATTTCGATGAAGGTGAACCTCTTCTTCTTGGTGTGATGCCACCGTCGTACTCATACCCAAACCTGGATGTGATCATGCCGAAACCTCACACTATTGACCAATAAGGGTACAAAATAAAACATACCCTTTCTTACAAATGGTGATCAATTGTTAACGCATATACTCTGGGGGAATCTCTTGCTAAACATTCTTCATCCGCTAACTTCTTTCTAAATTTCAGATATTGAAAGAACAACAGGAAACGAAACCTATCAGTATCAATTCAGGCAACGGGGAAGATTATAATGAAATCTTTTCTATCCATGAGCTCCGCACTGCTCTTGGACAAGCGACTGATTCTGATACCATACACTATCTGCTCCTAAAACACTTAACAGGGTCATGTTTAGTGACACTGTTGAGTATTTCCGATGAAGGTGGACCTCCGTATAAAGGTAAATTTCCTTCGTCATGGCGTGATGCTATCGTTGTACCCATATCCTGGACGTGATCATGCCGAAGCCTCAATCTATTTACCAATCGCACTGACTAGCATCATCGATAACTCCAGGGTATACGTTCCGATCAACCTTATCGGAACGTATACCCTGGAGTTATCGAGGATGACTGACTAGATGCGTTTGCAAAACCATGGAACACATGGTCAACAACCGATTAACATGGTACATTGAATTTAATCAGAAATTATTCAATATGGCTTTCAAAAAATTGCAGTACCATTAGCCATTTAATTCGATTTGAGTCATTTATTAGAAGTGTCATTATAAACGAACAACATGCAGTGTCCTATCTTTTCCGATCGAGAAAAAGCGTACGACACTATATGGAAACACGTCATTTTGAAATATTTGCCTCAATTAATATACAAGTGTTTGATTGACAAGCAATGTCTAGGCAGCTGCAATTATGTTTACAAAAATTAATAAATGGTGTTATGAAAATGGATTTAAATTTGAGAAAATATCAACTAATGGTGTGCATTTTTCTCGAAACCTGAGTCTTAGGCGTGACGAGCGAAATCTGAAACAAACTAACTTATTTACCAGTACCGACACATTGAATTACGCTTCTTCATAGCTTGATCCAGGCATGGTGGCGCAGTTGCTAAGGCTGCTATCATTGGATCCTGAGCAATATCTTCAAGATTACCCGATGACACCTCAATTTTTCAGAACAGAGGCTATTGCCATATAAACAGCTCCAAAATATATTCATAAGCAGTATATACAGTACAACCAGAAATTATTGAGAATTTAAAGATTGTAATTTTTTTATTTTTTTCACTCATTACTCACGCATTAATGTGAATATTAGCAGAACATAACTCCAGATTCAAAGACAAGTGAACAGTTAGTATTTTGTCAAGTCACCATGGGCAGCAATGCAGGCTTCAATGCGGCGGGGCATACTACTGATCAAAGAAGTTAGAAAGTCGTGGTCCTGCTGGAAAATCCAAAAATGTCCATAGAACACGTGAGCAGATGGAAGTAAATGTCGGTCGAGAATATCTGTGTACCGCTCACAGTTCATATTCCCTTCAAATACACAGATGGGCGTTGGCCCTAACACAGATATGCCACGTTAAATTTCGGACTGTACTTAGGGCGCTGATACAAAGTTTTTTCAGTTTGTTTGGTCCAGAATTTCAGTGTGTTAGCAAATAGCCACACAGAACTTTCATCTGAGAAAATCACATTGTCCCAGTAA